TCCCTTCATCCCCCAGCCTGTATCGATACATTTGATCTACTACCTTTCTTGCAGGAGTTAATAGCCTTAGATACACTTCCAGTTGCTAATGTTTTCAGCAGAGAATGGAGAGGGCCAGCTATCCTGAATTGTGTATGTTTGTTCAATGCACAAAGGAATGGGTTTTTATTACCTTTGAATATTTTTTGGCCCAAGCTGAAATTAAGGATGTGAGAGTCCTCTGACCTTACATTAGGGGCTCGGGTCAGGTGCCTTTTGACATGCTCTACAGCATCCTCTGGGGCTGGCAGATACTCTGCCCTTCACCAGGTAGGGTATCCCGGGACATCTAAAATGGCACTTGGCACCCATGTCAAAGTTTGTAACTGAACTGAGCTTTTCAACAAATCAATGGAGTTTTGAGGAACAATTCATCCAGCCACATACAACCATCAACTTTGAGATGAAACAATCTCAGCTGGAGCTCCCCTAACCGTAGTCCTCCAGCTCTCCATTTGCTACCAGTGGGAGTTAGGAGTCTAGCTCAGCGGTGGACTTCTACAGAAACCCATATTCACTGATCTGAATATCTCCCTGAGCCCACTTCTCCTTCTACTCTGGCACCAAACAGAAGCTAATTAGTTTAAATCAATCATATGGTTTCTTGCAACCTTTGTGGAAGAAGGACAACACTCACTTCCACTTTCCTGACCTGTTTAAGAGCCAGTAATATCAGTAACACTGACAACAAAAAGTGTTGAACACATGCCTAACTTAGCCTTCCTGAATAGGTAGGAACATGTTTAAATATTAAACATCCTGAGCAGAGAGAGTCAATGCTACTAAACTCCTTCCAGCACCTTGATACTGGCCTGTGCTGGTGCATATGCCAGAAACTCTTCACTGAGTAGGACAGGATTCATCTCATCTAACAAAGGTGTCTCAGATGTAGTAGTTTAAATCTCAGCTGGCCACTGCAGGTTCCTTTTATGTGCTCCTTGTATTAACTTTACATATGAAGAAAAGTCAAGACTTCCAAAGAGTAATGACTTTCAAACAGATATATTAGGATGGAGTGAGATGGACAGTTTCTGGAGATGCCTATTTCTCTGTACAGAATACTAAGGGAGCCTATGGTGGCCTGGTCAGGAGTAAATAACTGCTCTTAGATGAGATGAATCCAACTCAATATTATTGTATTACACAACTCCTGTTCTTCATCGCTGGCTCAGGCACAGTCTCCCACTGCTCTGATTCCCAGTTAGCAACAAGCAGCGTTTTGGCCAATACTCACTGTACTTGGTTTTAGTATGAATGGAGCAGTTCTCCGGGCAGACTTCAGCCACCAGAACAGGACTGAACAAGTTGGGGCAGCACTCCAACTTTGCACAGACTCTTCTGCAGAAATCCGCTACCTGATCCGACGTTCGCACAATCTTAACAGTCGCCCTGTATGTCTTCCCTCTGTATCTAGAAAAGAGTACAACAAGACCCCATGTCATCAATCAAGTGACGTCCTTCGATGCTACAGACCAGACTCTCCTCTGTTGGGGAGATATCTTCCCTAACGACTTTTGGAAGAGTGTCTCTCTTGGGAAGACAGGCAGAATAGGTCTACTTGTTTTAGTGGCTCCATTTCAGATGGACTAGAGGAGGAAGGAAAGGCAGAGTGAAATGATCCTGGAAGCTGAGGTGTGGACATGATTTGGGGAGGAATGCACGTGCAGACTGGATATATCTGTAGATATGGCAAGAGACGGAAAAAAATCAGAGTAGGCTTGGTGAGGATACTACACAGGACAGCACGCCCATACTATGAACTGATGCAAAGTTTTGGGGAGAGGGATGTAGTCTCTCCTCATATATTGATCTGTGATGAGAAGCTTATATGCCTTGCAGAGTTTTCTGGTCACCACCCTGTATGTGGGCTGCGTGGAGACTGTCTCTACAAGCTCCCAATATACACGTTTGGTCTTCTCCATTGCCACCTTTCTCGAGGCAGCTCTCACATCACGTTCCAGCTCACAAGAAGGCCACAGTTTCATTGTGCCAACTGCGGCTGTGGTGAAACTGGTTTGTCTGCCATACGGAGACCAGATGACTGCACCGCTGTGAGATGTGGGCAGTACAAGACCCGAGGAACTGATCAGAAGTCTCTTGAGTCATTTAACGGGGCTCCGGGAACAGGCCCTAAAAACCGTGATTCCTACAGGGAATGCTTAGAGCAGATGCAATGAAAGGATTGTCTTAAATTTGTTACCCATGTGCTACTAAAACATTTATTTCAGCGTTTTATATGAAGTGTTTCCGAGCGATAAATAGCTAAGAAAGATACAGTTACATCCCTGCTGTAATACATTGTAGATGTGAACTCTGAAAAACCAATTATCCACATAATTTATTAACAGCAGCACCAAGCTATTGTAAATGGTAAGATAAGGTTTTTAAAACATCGCTTACGCCTCCTGAGGAATGCAGCACAAGAGACAATCACGCGAGCACCTGGTGCTAAGGTATTATAAATGTGCTTAGAGGAGAGAAAAGTAACACACACAAAAGAAAAAGAGGGAGAGACAGTGAAAGAAAGATTACTGGATGGCAGGCAATGAAAGACAAAGATACAGTCACCAGGAAAAATGAGACAAAGCATTTGTGAGTGCATTAAGACCCACAGTTCCCTAGCACGGAATCAGCTGCTGATAGTCAGATATGGAAGAGGAAGAGGAGAAGGTGAAACAAAGGAGATGTGGCCGGAGAGTTAAAATACGCAGCGTGCGCCCAGACCCTATTCCCTCTCTGAAGGTTTTACTAAGTTGCACAAAGCAACTGAGAAACCACCTTTTGCTGCTCACCCTCCCAAAAGCTCTTTCTGGAAATACTGGGCTACAGGAAAGGGTTTGAAACTGCGGTACATGAAGTGTTACAGAGGGGTACCCAAATGACACTTGGGTCTGAGAACAGCCCAGTCCAACCACCCTCATGTCGCAAAAGACTTGATCCAAACTATCACCTCAACACAAAACTCTTCCAGAACCTAAATGAGCAAGGCACCATGCTTTGATACTCCATTTGGTGCATGACCAAGGACCCCAAGTCATGGAGACAATCCTGGATTCATTCATCCTTTTGAATGAATGAATGAATGACGTAATTAGCCAACTCCTCATGCACCCCGACAGACCTGGACAGATGACGTAAAATGGAAAAAGTGTTCCTTCCAGACACAGAGCTCTGTTATCCCAGCTTCCCTATGGAATAGCTGCACAGGCAGGCTGGCTAAAGGGGGTTTGGCAATACCTAATATCAAAAGAACAAATTCCACAGGCATTTGAATAGATCTACTTACAAATGTTTTATATTTCTTTTCAATGTGTTTGAAAAGACTCCTGCCCTTATTACTTCTCCAGGAGCCATTAAGTTTAACGACGGCCTCGATCATTAGGTCAGTAAGTCTGACTCCTGTGACAGGCTGCAGAATTTGTGTTACCTTCACCTGAACCCCAACAACTTTGGTTGGACTAAAGCATCACTTCCAGAAAAGCACCAGCCTCCCCTCGAGGGTCTCCACACTGGAAGAATCCCGGCAGCAGGAGCACCTGTACCTACACCTCATGAGTCTATGCCTCATTTTATGTCTGGATATGTCTGGATTTAACTTACAGTTATTTGTCCTTGTTCTGACTTTCACCGCTAGGATGAAAAGACTGCATCTGGTTTTGTTTCCCTGCAAAAGCACTGTAATCAAATTGCCTCTTGATCTTCTTTCTTATAAGCTAAGAAAGCTGCCTGATGGGTATTATTCAAGGATGGCTGAATTCTTCTAACTGTGTGCTTCCTATTGTGTTTGGCTGCCCAGAAAGGACCCATTGTACTAAAGTGCCCGGTGAAAGAAAAAGATGAAACCAGGAAAACGAACAACTGACTGATTTCAGAGTCTGGTTTGAATGCAATACACATAGTAACTAATAGAACGGATGGCAAAATGGAGATCAACATGACTGCAGCAATCAGTCCTAATAACGCAAGGTGTTAGTACTGGCTGCAGTAATATTTTTTACATGATTTTGGCCTTGGCAGCACCTCTTTCAACTATAAACCAGATTCTACTAATATTTTCCATATTCCTCACACACTAAAGATTTTTAACACAAACACCACCAAATGTAATCTGAGCTGTTCTAGGACAGCCATGTGGAAAGAGCTCCTTTGGATATAATCAGAAAACCCTTTTCCATTAGCATCACTCAAAAAATTATCAACTACTGATATTCCTATTGATGTTTTCATACTAGGACTCCTATCTTCCCAAACACTTTTTAGCAGTAAGTAACCTGCACGCACAGCATGGCAGCACTGGAGACTTAGAAAACAGCTGTGTCAAGCAAAACATTTTCAGTTTTCTTAGAAATCACTGTTCTTTTAAAAAAGATTTTTCAGCTAAAGCCAAATAAATCTTCCTCTCCTCTCCCCCTTTCTCTGCCCTCAGATCCCAAAAACTGGAGAAACCCTTAAGGATGAAACTATTTCCATGAAAAATATACTCAGGATCTTTGCAGATCCACGAGCAACAATATTAAGCTAATAGCACTTTGCTGGCAATATCATTCTTCTGTTGAAGCTTCCTTTGGTGATAAAACAGATCAGAGGTTCATGAGAACAAAATGTCTTCTAGGAGCTCCAGCTGGGGACCATTGTTTGATGACGTGAAAAGCCTTGTGCTGAAGACACTTCAAACAGCAAGAGCATCGAGACTACCCTCATTTTCAAAAGCTTCATCATAAGGATACAGCCCACAGTTCTGACAATCCTTGAGACTATTCTGAACAACTCAGTGGCTAAAAGCCTCAATTTCCTTTTGGGGGACCAAAAACTCCTACCTATTCTTTTGCAAGAAATTTCCAATTTGTCTTACTAGCTTAAAGTCATGCCAAGCATGAGAAATCTCCAGCTAGCTACTCACAGCACACAACCAAAGCCTCTCTGCATTGGATTTACCAGAAGCAACTTATCAGTACAGCAGCAGAAATTGTCTAACATCCACTTCATCGTGTTTGAATCAGACACTGCCTGTATGAGCCATTCCAACTGCCAATGGCAGAAAACCCTAAAGTTTTCATCAAAACCCTGATACCCTTGAAGCTACTCAGTGTATCTTGAATACCAAGGATTTTGCAAATAATCCCAGTCTAGGTAAAATCAATAAAAATGTAGTAGTTATTTTCCTCCAAAGCTGTTTAATCATCCAGTGGTATTTTGTACTCTTGAAGACAGGATTCAGAAAGGGCCCTGGAATTCTTCTGGTTGTAAGGACATGTTTTATTAATTCTCCTCCCGGTTATGGAAAGAAAGAGTTTAAGTCATTCCACTGGTGCTAATGATTTCTATCTCCAATATTTGGCACAGAAGGCCACCTGATCACACTAATTCACCCTTGCAGTGCCTCAAGAAGTATGTGGCAGAGCTGATGTAGAAGATGAACCAGATCATACGAGCCTTAGCTTTGTACTGACCTTCGAGGAGCACCGTTAATAACTGGCTGCCAGTTGGACTTCGTATCTTTGATCGCAACCCTTTGGGTTCAGTTGTCCAGCCAACTTTCCACTCATCACACGTCCAATCCACATCTCCACAGCTTGGCTATAAGGATGCTATGGAAGACTGTGTTGAACGCCTTGCTAAAATCAACGTAAATAACTTCCACTGCTTTTCCCTCAACCACCAAACCAGTTATCGTATCAGGCACAACTCGCCCTTTGTAAATCCATGCTGGTTCTTGTCACCTATTGGTCCTGCATGTTCTTGGAATCCAGAAGGATTTGCCTAATAACTTTCCCACAAATGTTAGGCTGACAGCCTGTAGTTATTTGGATTCTCCTTCTTGCCCTTCTTGAGGAGGGCTGTGACGTTTGCCTTTTTCCAGACATCAGGAAACTTCCCTGATCATCATCAACTTTCAAGCATGACAGAGAGTGGCCTTGCAATGACATTGGCCAGTTCCCTCAAGCAGAGCTGGCCACCTCCCATCTGGTTCCACACACTTGTGCACATCCAGTTTGCTTATAGTTTGCTAGTTTTTCATCTACTGTGGGTAACACTTCACTCCCTCAAACAGTAACAGGGACCTGGGAGGCCTGAGAGCAACCCTCGTTAGCAAAGGCTGAGGCAAAGAAGGCTTTGAACACCTCAGCATCATCTATCACAAATGAAAGGCAGTCATCTAAAGCATCCCAGAGAAAAGACTTTCTTTGAAATGCAGCTTCATAAATAAGCAATGGTGTCTGTGATGGGGGGTAAATATTCCTAGAGTTCAGCTACTGGATTTGGGCACATCTCAAAATTTCATTTAATGAAGGAGTCCAGGAAAACTCATCTTTCTTGTTTTGTTTAACTGGGCTTCATACAAGACCCAGGAGATAACTTTCTGCACACACTGGTACTGTTTATGCCCAAAGTCCTGCGAAAATGGGTAAGTCCAAAGAGCCCCACTTACAGCCTTTAGGAATGAAAGCCCTTAACAAGCATAAAGTCCCTCAAGCACTTTACGTAAAATTGGGAAGCCAAATTAGATGTAGGCACTGAACTAAAAGCACCTGTAAGAGTTGGATGCCCACAATTTCGGCTGGCCCTCACAGGAATTCAGAAGATCGGGTCTGACATTTGTAACTCATCACCACCAATAAATCAGGTTTGACTATTTTCACAGAGAGCCAGCCGCGCTGATGGGAAGCGACTGCCATCACGCATTGCAGACACATCTCTTCGGACAATCTAAATTGTTTATCTTCTTTGCAAGGCTAGTGTAATTGATTCTGCGCTGGTCACTCATGACAGCAGAGTAAACTAAGCGCAGGTTGCCCCCGGACTGAGATAACGCATTCCTGGCAGTGCATGATTTGGCATTTGGGCCAGTGGGAAAAACAGCCTTCTCCTCATCGTCCTCCTCCCTCCCCTTTGCTCTACCCTACTGCAGCCGTTGCCGCAAACAAACAACAACATTGTCAAGATCCAAGGAGCTGTCAGTTTACATCAGAAGGAAGGCGGTGACACGACATGTCACATTACAGCACAGACGCTCCAGCTGGCTGTAGAGCTGTCATCATTAGCAGCAAGACACCATTGGGAGCCGGTGTAGCTGGAAGTTGGTGTAGACAGGCGTTTGCTCATTTACGGGTCTCCGTTTAAGATTCTGGAGCACAACTGACTGTCGTACCTGATGTAACGTGTCATGTGCCGTTCGCGCATCCCAGGGTATCTGATTTCATGAGCATGTTTTCTTTTCTGCTTCTGCACAACCAAATGCAATTAAGACCCACATGGGCTTCTTGATGAAGCAGCTGAACCGAACTCAGGAAGGAAAAAAGAAGGAAGTCCTAGGGTAGCCAGACAGTCTTAGGGCATGTCTACCCTCTGTCACCCACTCTTAGAAGCACTCAAACTACCCGCAGGCAAGCTGGTATGACCAGCCAGCTCTGTGAACAGAGCTCCAGCCCTAGAAGCCAGATAGCTACAGCAACAAGGTGCTGTCCGGCCCCATGAGCTCTGTCTCCTCAGGAGCCAGAGGACAATGCCACACTGAGTGAGAATACATTTCTGTGCTTAGAAGTCACTCCGAAACATGCTATCCCAGCTCTGAGCCTGCAATGATCCATTCTGTGGCTTGATAAAGTTCAAAGATGCTGCTTGACTTGCTGAAGAGCAGAGATTGCTGCCTCCTGGGGTAGCCATCATACAGGAACACGTACACAGCCTGTGACTGGCTGGCCAACATAAAATACAAACCCTCCTTGCTGGAAAGCATTGGTATACTTTTATCTGGCAGGTTACATAGATATAAGGTATATCCCAGCAGGCTGCTGCCCTGCTAAATAGATGGGAAGAGAAAACAGGCACAGGAACGAATGGGTAGGAGCGTCATGGGGGAAAAGTAACGGAGACGGAGGTGCTCATTACAGTATGATTAGCACACCAGGTAACAGTGAGGGAGGATAATTGGTTGATGTGACACGGATAAGTGACAGTCTCTAGCAGCCCATGTACTCATAACTGAGTTGGTCTTCCTGGTGTAAGCACACCTGGAGTCAGCAAGCTGCTGGGGGTCTCAGTGGATTGGGCTGTAGACATAGATGACTATCAAGGAAAAGACATCCCTGCACTTGACGGTCAGTTAAACGTTTTCCAGGCTGTCTCCCATTAGAAATAAGGATTGCAGCAGCCTTAAGAACCAGATACTGCTGCTTTTGCACAAGGTGGATCCTCACACTCAAATGAGAAATCCCAACGAAATCCTATTTTGGATACTGCTAATAGGAAAACTGCCTGTAAGCTCAAGTCTTTGCAGGACAGGACATTAAGATGGGGCATTACAACTTGATTTCACAACTGCTAATTACCTGTAGGAGTGCATTATCTGATATTTGCTAGTATAAGGTGTGGGAGCCTGGAATCAACGAAAACCAGGTCACGGACAATGACTTGTTTTTAATGCAAATCTGCATGCACAAGGATGATTTTTAGATTTCCATCCACAAAATTTCAATTGACAAACACAAAAACATGACTTTCCACATGGGTAAAAGAAGCAAATTAAAAACCAGGATTTTCTAGTAGCTTTTCATTTCTAATTGCAATCCTCCTTTAGAAAGGCAGTTTCCGAGTATGCAGAATAAAAGGTTGTCAATTCTCTCCCTCAACCAGAGCACACATGAGCTTTCTGCAATATCTGCTCGGCCAAAGATCAAATACAATAGCAATCAATAGTGCCATATTTGACAGCCAATCATTTCAAATAACCAAGAGAAAATTGCTTTTATTCGAAAAGGAGTAACAGAGTTCAGTACAAAGAGTGAGATTCACTGCATTTAACTTCAGTACTCAAAAAGTCAAGGTGACCAAGTTAGTCAATGGAGAGAATGTCTTCAAAGAACTATTTGTTGACATCTGTCTTGAAGTGGGAAGAATTGCTCTTTGGAGGGACTCTGGAGAGAGTTTAGGTGAGACTCACCTCTTTCAGAGAGACAACGGTTGCTGAAATACATCCTAAGTGTAGTGCCCATTACATAAAGGAGAAATAAACGGATAGATTTCGAAGTTGGAAAGGGAAATTGAGTATTTCCTAGATACACAGTTTTCTTAAGTGTTGTTTAGATGAGAATTGAAGCATATATTCTAGAAAGGCCTCAAATCTTGATCTTAATCCCATCTCTGTTAGTATTTCGTCCTAATCACTCTTCTGCTTAAAACTGTGTCCCTGCTATTTTGTCTGCACTTTTTTTGTGCCATTCATTCTTGTCAGGTTTTTCTGCATTAGAATGACAGGCTCTATATTAAAAGCAGTAATACTCCTACATTTAGAAAGCCAGGAATTGAGTTAATTCAATAACAGCCACGCTTATAGGAATAGCTTATCATAAAACTCAGGACTTCACTGAATAAACACGGCATTTTTAATCAAAATCTGGACGGCTGCTTGGAGAAAGACAATAGAAATGAACCGTTCAGGTGAATATTTCACTTTTTAAGTTACCATAGAATGAGTCAAATAATTCAATGAAGCAAAATGATAATTAGAAAAGCAAGACTCTTACAACAGAAAAAATCTTTTATTCTCTTCCTCCCCCCGCCCCCCCCAGGTCAGTTCCATTTTTGAAGCCTCCCAAAGAAAAGAGCACACACTGAAGACTTACTTTGCTTTAAGTGTTTCCTCTTGGAAATTCCATTGAGGGTCTTCTACTAGCTGCAGTTCTCGTAAAACACTCCCTGGCTTGTAAGCTGCATTGATCACCATGCTGAGAACCTATGGAGAGACAAAACCGACAACACTGATGGGTTTAACAGTAGTCCTTGGCCACGCTGAATGTGATCCCAGGTGCTGCACAGGCAGGAGCAGCTCACAGGTGCTAACTGAGGTTCAAGGCTGCACAGGGTAAGTGCTAGATGCAATGAGAAGAGGTCCCAGATTGGATCAACGTGCCAAACATATTGTAGATGACACATCGATCTGATACGGTGACTGCATTAAATGCTGCTAGTTAACCCCAAAGATCTCCTGTTAATCAGTATTTTTCTTTGAGACAGACCCTCTCAACCAAAGCAGATTCTATTCCCTGCATTCATACTGGCTCAATTTAATAAAAAATGAAAATACTTCTGATGGCTCAACCAGGTACAAAGTCATGTGTACCGTTACACACTGAACACTAAAGGGTAAATTCACATACTCGAGGTCAGCAATATGCTTAAGCGTCTGAGTGCTGCATGCCTTGACTGTATTAACAGAATATTAATGAAGTCTACACAAAAAGAGTTTGCAGGAGGTGTGCTTGAAACCCAGTATGTGTCCACTCTGTACAACAAAACACATGTGCCAATCCATTTAATCCAAAGTCTCTGAGAATAAAAATGATTCCTACTATTGGCTCAGGGAATCCAAACTTTAATAGTCTACACTTGGCCTAAGGAGATAAATGCAAGGAAAACAAATCTCTTAACAGCATCAAACCATGTGTTTGAACACTCTGCATTGTATGTACATGAATGACCCCATAGTGAGTCTGGATTGTTTTTGATATAATTTAGCTCTTTTCCTAATGCCTGTTCTCAATTCTTTGGGGGCCTGCAAATAATTTCAGTAACATGAGCTTTAAGCTTCCCCAGCACCCATGAATGCGGTTCATCAGAAATGAAAAACTAAGTCATATTGCAAAAAAGCAATGTGTTTATGTTTTGGGGTTTTTTTCCTGTTGTTTTAATCCAGCAACCTGAGGATTTTCTAGTATTTTGAAAACCTCATAGGATGAATTATTTTCAGGCAAGGGCTTCACTTAATGCTGCATAGGACCATGTAAAATGGCAGTGGTTTGAGTTGCCTGGCTAGGTTATTCGCTAGAAGTAAAATTTGATTTATCAGTGGGCCCTTGGAAACATTACTCAAGCCACTCTTCAAAAAAGTGCAATTAGAGACACCTAAAGCAATGCCTAATAATAGCACTAAGGTCTTATGCAGGTCCGATCATCTGTACATCTCAAACGAGTAAGGGCAGGAGCACGCTCCCTATCTCACACAAGGGGAAATTACAACACAGATTTACCCACAGCTCTCTAGCTGGTTCCCACCTCATCACACAACCCGCTATACTAGTTACTAAGCCATATCAATTCCCAAGAGAACAAAAGAAAGCTTCTGAGTGAGTGCACCCAGTTGCTCATCCACCTCTTTTCTTGCCTGCTCACTCACCGTACAAACTTACGGGGCACTGGTCTCTGACACAGAGACACTGAGATACGATGCAGGGAAGTCAAAGGTGGGTTTTTCAAAAAACATCAAGTGCCTGGGTAGCTGCTACACTCATTCACAACTCATCAGATGTGTTCCCCTCCTGAACAGCACATCCAGGGAGTTATTTAACGCCTACGCAGCAGCTTGTTGGGAAAGCTCTCCTTCAGCACCCTTCTACACCCACCCTGCGTGCCGGTGGGAAAGCCGGGAGCAGAAAGCAAGTGTCTCTTGCTGACCAATTCCCACAAACAGTGCTGCCCTGCTCCTTTATAGGATGATGGTGTTTGCATGAGTTGTCAGAACAGTTCGGAAACGAGCAAGAAAAGAAAACCCAACCCTGCAAAAAACAGTTTGGCCCTGCCTGGGCATTATCCCAGACACCTAATCAACTCCAGCCCTGCAAAGACACCCACAATACCAGGACTTTTCTCAAAGCTGGCTTGTCATCAGCAGGACTCTGTAAACTTCTAAATTCAGTTTAAAGAAGAGTGTTTTGTAAGAACAATCATTTCCCTTTAAGGGAATAAAAAATGTTTTTTTAAAAAGCTTTGGCTTTTACTCTCCTTGTATGCCAAATAAGTCACTGAGTTTGGCATTACGCCCTACAGCGGGAGTTCACCACCATGTTAAGAGTGTTATCTTCTAACAACATTATCGCTTCATATTACACACTATTAAACACTAGGGAGAAAAAAGAACACTTTGTTTCTTGTGAAGAAATTAACTGTGATTAAAGCAAACACAGTGAGGAAACCTAGACCAGTTTCCAACTTTCCAGTTTCCAACCTTCTCTGGAGATGGAAAGTCACTTCACCCATAACAGACTGGTCAAATTTTCATCTGATTCACTAAATTCCCTTTGGCTGGAGTGTGACCAGTCTAAAATTTTGGTAGTTTATTTTCAGCCCTCTCCATCAGGAATGGTTTCGGCGCAGCCAGCGGTGCCTTGGAGCAGAGGGGTGGATTAGACACCACCAGCCTTTGCTGCTATGCATCTATGAGGTTTTATTTTGATACTGCTGAACTGTGGATTTTCAGAGTCGAGTAGGTTGGAGTCACACCAGTGAGCATGAGCACACAGCACCATCACAAGACTCTACCCAACCTTATAAGCACCTGCCATCTTAGCTATAAAGTTTTCCATGTCAGAGATCTTCAGGTGCACAGGGGCCCTTTTCTGAGCATGTCTAACTGGGCAGTTCAGCACCTTTCTTCCCATCGTAGCTCTTTTGGTATTCACACATTTCTCGTCTCTCCACCCCTCTTCATTAATGGTACCAATCCTGGATGAAGCTTTCTCAGGAGGTATCAGTGATGAGGTACAGTTCAAAATACCATTACACCTCTTCTGCTGTTCAAGATCAACATCCTTGTGAGGAGAAACTAAATTTCCCTCCTCTATCTGAGATGTGAGCCCACATCTCCTACCTAACAGGAGAGACCCTAACTCCCAGGCTAGCCTCAGGTAGGACAATAAAAAGTTATTTTATTTTCCTTGGAATAACGATGTGTCTGTGGGACAGAGAGAGAAGGGAAAGAAGAGTTCTTTGGGATTCTTTCATTAGATGATCAAGCATCTAAAAGTGAGCTTTTGTCATAGGCAGGGTTGTAGCACATAAGTGTTGACATGCTTATGACAGTCGATGACATTTCAAAAATACAGATGGCCAGATCCTAAGTTGGAGGAACCATCATAGATGAGCTGAAGTCCACAGAGCAGTCTTGAAGAGGATGTTAGCGAACCCTTTTGCAGAAATGCATTTGTATCTTTCCAGACTATAGACGGTTTCTGCCATTCCAACACCATATCTGATCACTAACGATAACGCTATCAGCCTGGTTCAATCATACACCTAAGGCTCAGTACAAGCTACTTAATTTTCTGAGCACGATGATTTAATTATGCAAATTTCTCCTAAGAAGTCACGCTGTGCTCCAAAAAATTCAAGTTGCAGAGCACAATAGCCTTCCTTCACAAAAGCTGGCTGATTTCTCCTGCTTGCATCAGTTGGACAGTCACATTACCTTTAAGTCCATTTTCTTTTTAAATAGAGAAAGAGCGAAGTGTCTTAAAAAAAGTAAGAGCAGTAACCAATGAGGCTAATTAAACTTTACAGCATATTTCCCTAAGATATGGTGGGTTATAGATCATCTGAGGTCTTAAAAAGACATCTCATTTTGTTTTACAATGCTGCCGTGGTAAGTTGTTGGCACAGATGGAAGAACTGTTCAGAAATATTTTTTAGATATTCTGACCCAAGAACTAAATCTAAAGCTGACAATGTGTTTATTTTAATTTAACTTAAAGTTAGCATTTATTACATATCTTAGCTACTATACAGTCACTATTTTTCAGCCCAGATGCAGTTGTTGAATGGCAATAGTTGATGTCTCCACCATATTTGGCTCCAAGTTTCAACTTCTTTTCCAAACAAGTATCTCAGGAATGAGATAAGCTTTGGAGCTGATGTTAAACAACAGGCATTACCACCTCACTTGCCTCTTGGGGTGAAAGAAACCACAATAAACCACTGGTCTCAGCAGTGACTTGTGCTGGCATCAGGAATAACGAACAGCTAGGCTTTAAAAGTAAGTTTGGCACTAGAGAGCACAAGAGTTACTTGTCACTCACCTAAGGCTTTGCGCGGATGCAAGGATACACACACACAAACACACACAGAATTAAAATCAGTATGTTTGATCATACTACCAAATAAGTTGCAATCGCTCTCAAGATTTTGCTGGGAAATCTTGCTCAAGGGCTGCCATTCTGGAAGGCACCTTAGCAGTTTCCTCCCCGCAGAGCTCACAACCTCCGAATCCGTGAGGACAAAGCAATTGGGCAGAAATCAGGGGGATGCAGTAACAACGCAGAACTCGGCTGAAATGCCTGTTCTGCTGGAAAAGAGGTGCTGCACAAAACCAAACCTATCCGTGCTGCTTCTCTCCCGCCACCTCAGGTGGGAACAGCCCAGAACTAATCAAATGGAAGGAGATGTTCCTGCTCCACACTATAAGGGTATCTCCCTACCTTGTTTAATCCAGAGCCACGCATTACTGACCCACAGCTATCTCACTATTAGCGTGCAGGCTGGTAGCACCAGATTGTTTGGAGCTGGATCCTAGCTGATGCGTCACTGCATCAGTGATGGAGGTAAGGAGGGACAAGACCTTGGGGGAAAAGAGGGCTGAGGAGCATCATGAACTACAGTTGTCCTGCATTTTTTGTTACATCCCTCATGATTGAGTGTGGAGGAAGGTAGAGGATGGGGAGCTACTCCCTTGGCACCCAGCCAGGACCAAGGTCTCCCATCACCTGGTGCTAGCGGGGAGAGGACATTGCTCTCTTCTTGCTTTAGAGGTAATCCAGGCCAGTGAATGGGGCAGGAGTTGGTTGTTCAGCTGTTTGTAGTCTGGGGTTTCCATCAGTGCCAAACACAGCAGCAGCATCTCCGTCACAGAGACTGCTGCCCACTGTGAACTGGCTGGCAACCGGCACAGAGTTTTTAACTAGAGCGTCTCTAAAGGCAGTGAGTTATGGCTGGAGACCAGGGTGATTTAAAAAGCTCTCACCAGACTGCTACTGACTCCGTTTTTCCTTCGTAGCTGTTGTTTTGAGTTGTCTTTCCCACCCTCCCATGTGTGTTGCCAAAGTAAAACCCATGTATAATTTATCTATTCCAGACAAATTATGCTGATGCATAATTTACAATGGCCTGCAATTTTCCTATATAGTGAGAGATAATTATAATGCATTTGCATTCTCAGGGCCACATCATCAGCGGGTGTAAAGCGAGACAAAGGCATCAGGCTCAGCACCGAGACTGGGTTCGGAGGGATGGGGACCCTTGTGAGCTTTTCAGCTGTGCAAAGCCTTGTGGCTGTGGTCTTGGGCTGGCGGAGCTATCTCCTGCACTGTTCTCACCACTCAGCTCTGAAGTCCTTTTGGGTGCTCTGGCAGCTGCTACAGATCTTCATCTTGATGCAGGGATGTCTTCTTTGCTATTTCTTGCCTCCTCCACATGTTGGGTACCCCTATCCTCCCTCCTGCCCATGGTACTCTGAGCTGCTGACACCTCTCTTGTCTCAGCAGCAGCTGATAGGAACCAGGTATATCTCCCCTACAGCAACACCCTGAATGTCTTCTCTTCACCCTTTCCAGAATTTGGACCTGATCCCCGTTGCCAGAATGAGCTTGAATTTATCTGCAAAATAACACTGACCAATGCTGGGCCATTGCCATTGTCTTGCTCCTTGAGAAGTCATTCATGTCTCCAAAAGCAAGATGCCCTTGTCTCATTGACACTGCTATTTGCTCCTTCAGCAAGTAATTCTGTAAGGAGGCAGAGCAAGAGAAAATAGCCTTTCTGTAGGAGACTCAGGTTGGTTTCCACAGTTGGTAACTGGTCCCATTCTTGAAGAATTTGGAGAAGCTGGTGTTAGTCTATGCAGCTAGGATACTAGGGGAGGACCTTTGCACTGCTTATGTTTTCAAAATCCAAATTCCGGGAGGAAAGGAGGAAGAAACATTAGCATAAGTATTGACTGTGCATGCCTCATGTTTCCCCCATGTTGCTTTTTCATTGCCTGTTTTTCAAGTAGCAGCAGATTGCTAATGCTCCTCATCAGCAAGCCGCTATGGACTTGCTTTCAAATTTGGCAGCTGTCAACCTTTGCTGTGCAACCACTCTACCCTGCTTTCTGCTGAGGGCTATTTTTGACTTGCTTCTTTGACACCCAAGTGTCCCACCTGCACAGGCAGCTGGTTTACTGGGCTGTCTTCACGGCTCAGTTTTCAACCATGTGAGACAACCAGCAGCGTTGTTGTGTAAAAAGCAGCGCACGTAGGTGATGAGGAAGTGGATGCGGACACAGGAGTCACTCTACAGTACAGTAGAGCACAGAGGTCCTCTCTGGGGACGTCTCTGGTCATGAATTCTCTTGCACACAGTTAGATGAAACTTGGTCCCAACCAATGGAACTTTTCAAAAGTGGTGGGTGATTTGGGAGGAACATCACCTTTCAGGTGTTTCTCTTAAGGGCTGGGATTCATCTCATTTCAGACAACAGCAAACATCCTGAGCTGGGCACTGAGGGTCTTTTCCACCAAGGGCAGAGGGACCTCAGATCCACATCAAGTGGGGTTCCTATAGGTACAAATCAGAAAGCTGAAAGATCTGGATTTCTAGAAGACCCGGGTCAAACTGAAATGGTGTCCAAGGCACCAATGGCACCCTCTGATCCAACAGAACCATCTTGATGTCCTCTCCCACTAGCAGTCATCTTGCTTCTCATCTGTATACGGACTGTAACGTGTGGAAAATATGTATGCATTGTTTTCGGACAAGCTAGCTTTTCTCTGAGGTCAACAGCAAGAGCTCAACACTCTGGATTTGGCCCAAAGTGAGCACTGATTCAGTCAGGACGAAGTGAACAGATGGTGGTGCCAACCCTGCTGCATGGGATTAACCCATCCACATTCAGCAAGAGCTGGGTACACCCAGCACATCGCACACACCCCTTCTTGGTCTTCTGTCCTGTTCACTTTGGATCCTGATGGTTTGGGCCCCATCGGACCATGGTCACACATACAAAGGCGTCACCCACACTGAATCTGCTGGCCCAACAGCATTGTGGATGCTGAGAAACAGGTTGATGGCAACAAGCACAGAGGTCCTGTTTGGGGACGGCTCTGGTCAGAACATTAATTCTCTTGCACAGTTAGATGAAACTTGGTCCCAAGCAATGGAACTCCCCATGTTTCAAAAATGTCACCTCTCCCATCAAAACCCGCAATGCATATACCTACCCTCTCTTCCCAGCTTGCAGTTTTGACTTATGGAAACCACTACAGAGCTCCAGGACAGTTTTAGGTGCCTTCTTTTCAAATTCTTGGCCTGGCAACCCATGACCCATGCTTTCCCCTGAAATCCCCCCAAAAGATAGCTGAGCCGTACCTCTTTGAGGACTAGCACACACTTGCCAGGCCCGACAGACTGAGGTAGCTCTGCTATTCTGCCTTTGTTTAAATATGGACCTGAGAAGCAGCGATGGTTGATGTAGAGCTGGGGGCAGCAGTATCTCCCATTGATGGTGCCTGCAAGGAGAAAGCAGCATTGATGTGCGTGTAGCACTTTTGTACAATAAATCAAGGGCCCTTCTTCTTCCTCCTGGATGTGGGAAGGAGGGGAGAAGAATAAACGAGGCACAAAGAAGTCTTCCCTGGGACAGGAGGTAGAGAAGTCTCTGCTACTCAAATCCGTCCGACACAGGAAAAGCAACTGCTTTTAATAGCAACTGATTTGGCTGCACACCCTACCAAAAGGAGAATCGGGAAAGGATTTAATTCATAACGTGACCCGAGGCTCTTTCATAACTCGCCTCGCAGATGGACATGAGCGACTGAGTTGCAACTTGCCAGAAAGGGATCGTGTTAGCTGCCTCTCAGAGATTCGGAATTGGCTCAGGGAGAAAACTCTGGTGGAGGGCTCCACAAACCCCTGTTCATCCACCGTCCAACCCAGTAAGCACCGAGGTGCCGTTCCCCTGACCCAATGTGGGTCTACACAGTTGTTTTCTTTGTCTGGGCTAATTACTCTGGGCTCCTTTATAGCCCATGGAGAGAAGTGGGTACTTCTAGATGCAGTTCATGTGCTATCCAAGTGGTTATCCACTTTTTGGTTATCATACCCAAAAAGAGCCTGTTTTTCCCCATTTGATTGTAACAGGGCCCTGGGATGTTGGCTCAGATGCCAACGCGTGCCCTGCAGTCTGCTGAAATAAAGTGAGTTAAATCCTGCCCCTCCTGCTGAGTCTATGCAATTAACTGGATGAATATTGCACTCTCAGAGCCTCCTGCCATTGCTAAAGGGGAAAAAAGGGGAAACCTTATCACTCTCTACAACTCCCTGAAAGGAGGTTGTAGCGAGGTGGGGGTTGGTCTCTTCTCCCAAGTAACAAGCGATAGGACGAGAGGAAATGGCCTCAAGCTACACCAGGGGACATTTAAATTGGCCATTAGGAAAAATGTCTTCACCAAAAGAGTTGTCAAGCCTTGGCACAGGCTGCCCAGGGAAGTGGTGGAGTCACCATCCCTGGAAGTATTTAAAAGACGTGTAGATGTGGTGCTTAGGGACATGGTTTAGTGGTGGACTTGGCAGTGCTAGGTTAATGGCTGGACTTGATGATCTTAGAGGTCTTTTCCAACCTAAACGATTCTACGATTCTATGAAAATTTGCCTTTAGCAGAAGTAGCAGCCATGCCACACAATCATGACGCTAACACAGGGACGCATTAAGTCCTGGTGTAAGCCATTTCATTGATGCCAATTAAAAAGTCGCATCCATCTCCACCAGGGCTTCATTAGCCTGGCCCTAACATCATTAGCTGAAACGGGCAAGCTGCAAGACACGACGTCCACACATGGAGGACCAGACTCTCACATGCTGTACATCAGAGACTCCTCGCACTGTTGGTGGGTCCACACCACCTCACACCCCCTGAGGATGCGGTTCCGTCTCCCCACCCATATGACACACTCACTCCCTTTCTGGGATCATCCCCCTCCATACAGGCAATGTGGGTCCTTGAGATAAGGATCCTGCTGGTGCCGAGCAGCCTTACCTGTTGTGTCTGGCTGAGGAACCGGGCAGAGGTCATGAGGTATTTTCTCAACAGGCACTGTGGATGGCAACCTGTTAAACAGCAATTCAGTGTATTTAAGAGCGTCAGACGGGGCAAAGGGGCAGAACCAGCCTTCAGGCTTCACTGAGAGATACACCAGGACCTGCCTGGACCGAGGAATGGAGACACCTCAAATGCAACCCCACTTCCACACCGTTTATCATAGCCCAGGGCCTGCATATTGCAGAATAAGGAGCCAGATCCACCACTCCTCCAAAAATACACTCTGGTCGGTGACCTTTAGCCCTTCAGGCTGCAAATATTCACGCGTAGCTTCCTTAAATTCTAGCTTCTAGAAACTGCACAGACTAGATAGGGAAATGCCCTCCTGGTACATACCATCTTCCATAAGCATCCCTTACTGGCCATCAAACACTGGCTCCATAGCCCCAGCTAGTAACATATTTCTATTGCAAAGACTTTCTTGCATGTTCACAAACATTTCAGATTTAAAGGAACCCCCTTGCTGACTCCGCTGCAGTATCTGGACAGTAGTTAGCAAAGTCATTCAGCTGCTGTGTATTCTCTCCCCTGGAAGACCTGATGCATCCCTGTAAAAACATCACCTTAAATAACAAAAACTTACTGCTTTTCTGGTTGCACAACTGCAATCCTTCTCTTCCTTCGCACTGCAAAAATGAAGCAAGGAAGAAAAAAACAGTTTTGTACCCTTCTGTCCTATAAAGTATACCCATAACGCATAAAAAGCTGTATAAATGCACTGACTATAAAATGACTTCTAACACAATGAAATGGTACTTAATTACTGTCGCCATCTTTTCTTGGTATTTTTTAAGTAAGTCACTACATCATTAAAACCTACTTTAAAGATGCAATAATACATTTAATCTTTCCTCTGGAATGCTAATATTGTGTTTTATGGGATCAGTATAAAAAATTAAAATAAAAACACAAATATTTTTCCATACAGAAACACATATGGATAAGATTACATTTTACAAGCATGATTACCTCCAGCATAATTTATCCCTAGCTATAAATTGCGATAAGGCTGCATAATGTTGCCATAGCAGTATTCTCCCAAATTAGGCCCCAGCTGCCTGATTTTTAACTTAAGCATATTTAACTCTTCAAAAGGGTTGACACATTTTAAAATTTGCCTTTCAGATGTAAATTATTATAAACAGCGAGGTTAATTTTTCATCTGGTGGCTTGAGATCGGGGTTGGATAGTTTCTGCGAGGAACAGGAGAACAACACCAAGCCACTGAGCACCCATGAACTGCCTTCAAATGCAAATGGAAGGGAAAGAAATTGGTCTTAATATGCACTGGAGGCAGGACAACACACTGTGGGCTTAATTGTGCTGGGAGAAATTTAAATTAAACACTAGGGAAATCTCTGAGCTGGTAAGGGCAATGAAATAACGGGGCAGATACCCTTGGAAAGGGCAGAAACTCCATCACAGGAGGCCAGCAAACATTTCTCAATTTAGGTGGATCAGATCCTGTTTTGAAGAGGGAGCACTTGGACGGCCTCTTTACATCCATTCTGCCCTATATTTTATGGTTTTTTTTCCTGATTTGAGATCCCATATCCCTAATTCACTCAGCTGCCCGAGTGAACTTGGCTTAGTGCAATGAAACCTGGTTTCACTCCAACAACCCCATCGCAAACCCACAAACCACACTGTGCAATCCCAAACCACGTAACAGCCTTTCCCAGTGCAAACAATCCCATTTTTAGAGGGACTGATCACACAGACAACTACAAATTGCATCATACCAGTGCTGCGGAGTCTGGCCACTAATTAGATTTATTACAGTACACTTACAGCCTGGTTACTAGTCTGCTAGTTAGGTTGGTAGTTTCAAGAATTGGATTACAGACATAAGACAAACTCCCTGATAAATCTGTTGATGTAATATCTATGCTGTTTGAGGTTTCCATGTACTTACAAACAGCTTTGTGTGGTGGAGTTAGGTTATAAGCATTCGCTTCACACCAGCCAACGGGGAAAATGTCCATAGACTCCACATCAACTATGTACTCTGGAGAGGGCATCTGTAAACCTATAAACACAAATTTATAATGTAATTTAGACATGGGAATACCGAGCTCAGAGCCATTTGAGCATTCATCATGAACCAAGGGAAGCAAATGATGGAACACATAAAAATAAATCTGCTTCCCTGCATCAAAATCAGGCATCATTTCATCTTCAATTCTGCACAGACAGCAATGATAAGGCTGTTGCATTTACAGTGCAATGTGATTCCAGAGAAAACCCCCATTAAGAGAACTCTAAGGGTGTGCAGTGAAGCAGTCAAAAGCCAGTAAGGTTAAACATGCATGACTTTCCCCAACAAGATGGCCTGATTAACCCCTCGGGGTTTTTTTGTAGAGTTGCACAAGCAAGTTAGGAGAAGGCCAGTTGGGTGCTTGCTTTTACTGGTAAATGGGCTTTAACAGAATGGTAGCTAATGTGATGGGCCTTTATGCCCCAATGGCCCCCTGAAGCTTTTTTGTGTAGTTCTGCCCTTGAGTCACTGTTCTCAAGGGTGAGAGATGACCATTCTTCTAGAAGTGCCACGAATTCTCCTAACATGAGCTGATCACCCAACACGGGAGAGGCAGTATAAAAACCCCAAGTGGGACAGATGCACTAAGATCTCTGGCATAATACTGACTCCAAAACCCCACTGAAAATCTCCGCTTAAAGCAAATCTCTTCCAGTTTGGTTATTACGTCTCCTTTAGAAGACACTCTCCTGTCTTGGTTTATGTGGGTGGCACTCAAAGCCCACTGCAGCAAACGGAAATATTCTCACTAGCTTTGAGTTCTTTTGAAAACAACTCTGGGTCCTGAGTCAAGACACCATTTAATTACTCCAACTCAAGTCCGTCTGTGCTGGCACAGCCTGGCCAGCAAGTTCACCCTTCTCTGCCATTTCCACCCTAGGACCTAGAGCTCCAGCACCAGCATGAGATGATCTCCTAATAAAAGAGACCAAAGGATCAGCAGTTTCCCCTGCAGCATCCTCGCCTTTGCATCTGTTACAGCATCTTTGCCTCCTGCTTAAGGCAGCAGTGTTTGACTGTGCACAGCTAGATGACTACTGGGGGAACTTCCCACTAATGAATGTTCATCAAGGGCTTGCAGTGTAATTGAAACAGTAATTGAACTTTGTGATGGGAATGGCATCGAGGCTGAGACGCAGCACTTGGATCAATCTTGTCTCTAGTGATAAACTTGCTGCACTCTGAGAGCGTGTGGTTGTACGAAAACCCAAAGGAAGCAGGAAAATAGGAAAATAGGTGCTGGTGCTCACGCTGCTGGAGGAAACAATTAAAAAAATGAAATCATGATGTCTGCATAGATTCATGGATGTCTTCATGGTATTCCTCGGAGCCCCGCACTGTGTTCACGCATGATACATTGAAGATACAATCTCTATTTCACTGGGATATGGGGAAGGGAAGAGGATGGGATGAAGGCACGTGATACAGGACACAACCTGCTCATATGAGCAGCTGAGCCTCAATGCAAGGTCTCAGCAGCTGGCACTCCCTGCAAAACCATTTCCCTCCACAAGAAAATACCAGGAGGTCACTGCTCAGTTTGAACCTGATGAAAGCTGCACTCTCCAGTGGGCAAAGCATTTTTGCCTAACGCCACAAATCCAGCCAAGGAACTGATGCGAGAACTGCTGAAATCCGTGGCAAGACATGCACAAAGTGAGCAAGCCATGGATCAAGCCCTAAAGAGAGCAAGAGATCAACACAGTCCCACTGAAATTTCACCAGACCTGGGAAAATCCATTATTTTCATTACTGTAACTGTTCTAGGGTGTTATTCTGACCCAATAAACAGATCAAATGTCCTTTCCTGCTTGCAAACAACAACAGATGTGACAGGAAAATTTTGTTTTTAAAGTTTACAGCTGCAGCTGCCCTGATGAGCAAGGAAGCACCATAATGTCTGTTCTCCTGCAACACCGCTATTCCTCTTGGAAGACATATTCACAGCTACTCTGTCCTCCCTGGCTCTGCTTCTTCCCTCTGGCAATTGATGTCCCTGCTTTCCACTTCCAACATCGTACTGCTTCCTTTGGCCTCACTCATACAAGTGGAAAACAGCTTGTTTGAGACTCATTAGTTTCATTTGCTGCATTTTATGCTGCCATCTTCTCAGACTAAGAAATGTCCATGAGACTTGAGAGGTTAAATGGAAAAGAACAGAACAGGGAGACTGGAAATAGGGTGAGGAAACCTTCCATCTCCTGCTACAAATCTTGGGCAGAACAGAGCAGCAACTGTGGAAAACTCTCAAAGGGAAAATTATGGAAAACCTCCCTGGAGAAGCGATTAACAAAAGGGTTTTCCTCAAATTCCTAGGCTGTGCAGAGAGTGTACATTATTACTTGTAAAAATTCGCACTAGAAAGCTTCAGCTTTAAAATCTAAAATGAACCAGTAAAAATTAACAATGCAGATGATGAGTAATAAAGTAGCAGAAAGTGATGGGATGCGCACAGCCTCGGATCAGCCCTACGCTTCTTTTCCACCGCGGGGGAACTATACTGCTGCTCATTAAATGCTCACCCTGAAGTTTACCGAGTTTTGCTACTGTACAAAGTGTGATTTATTAAGCTATGTTCCCTCATGTCTAACTCGACGCTGCTTAACTACTGCGTCCTGTTTTATGGCTGCAGTTTGGGCTGTCAAACAGGGAAACTGGGAGGGCAACAATGAAAGCTTCAGATGCGCCCATGATAAATGGTGGGACCCGAGGTCTTCAGTGATGGGCTCCCATGGTAGCTGGGGAGTCTTGCTGCTACCAGAATATAAATAATCAGTTAGAAACAATAGTGTACTAATGGAGTCAAAAAAAACATGCCACAGTTCAAGCCACATTTGTTTTACAACTCCGCAAGCAGGGTTTTGGGGTTTTTTTTAATGCCTAGTTTTAGCGTAACGCTCTGCATACTGTAGTCATGTATTTCAAACGCTGCAAAGGCTTCTTTTTATTTTTGCAGTCTTTTGCATCTTTTCCTTTTACTACAGATCATTCTATTCCTGGTACTGAGATACAAAAACAAGCATAAAGCATTTATATATCAGAACTCAAAAGACAAGGAGATGCACACAAGTTTTTTTATGACAAGTTGTAAAAAAACATCCTTTAAGAAATTAAAAGAGTAAAAGGCAGGGAGAAAGAGATGAGGGAGGGGAGCAAGGTGGGAGTGTGTGGCCCTCTCCCTGCCTCTATCCAGGGTCTTGGAGGACTAGTTGATTTAAAGTCCCAAGAAGCAGCACTTCCTATTCACTATAACGGGCAAAGGTTTAGTGAACACCGAGTCCCTCTGAAAGTATGACAGCTTAGGGGAAAAAAAAAGGAAAGAAGGATTCCCAAACCCCACAAAATCTGCACATAAAAGCGAAGGCACCTGGCCATTTAAGAAGGGGAGTTGCCAAAATGGGTCAGATTCCTTGACCAGATGGGCGTAAATTCGACAGCAGCCTTAGTGAGAACTGAATTTCAAACAAGCGTTGATTCCAGCTCTTTAACAAAAATATTTGCCCCGTGTCCAGACCAGGCTGCAGATGAGCTTTAGCTACCTCGAGTCAGACGGCAACCAGTTGTCTCAGACGAAAAAACCAAACGCCGCCGTTGCCCGCAGCTCTACCAAAAGTGAAGACGCAAAGTCGTATCTGCTCTGTACGCTGGAGATAACCACAGAGGAGACAAACTGCCTGGGGTGACAGCTGTATGTCAGGGATGGAGAAGGATGACCACCCAGCTCTCCTACATCTCCCACCTCTGCTGCATCTGGGCACACGCCTGCAGCTCTGCTCTCCCCAGATCTTAGCCGGTCCAAACCACGAGGCTTAGCAGCAAAGACACCAGCAGCGTGAATGATCTGGCTTGCCAAGCTTTAGGTCAGGAGGAATCTCTTTTTAGGTAGCAATTGAATTATACATCTCTGAGAACAGGATTTATCTCGGAGGCGTCGGGAAAGCCTTGTCTACCATATAACGCTATTTTTGTAGAGCTAAACACCACAGAACATCTGCCTTTCTTATATTTTAGAGCAAGCTGCTAGCACAGATGAGGTACTTTGGGTTACCTGACAATGTTTTTACTAACTTTAAAGGCTTTGATTAGAGACCTTTCCTCTTGTACAAATTGCACTGCACATTGTCAGATGCTGAAATACTTCTTGGGTTATTACAATCAATGCAGCACGATGCTGAAGGTGATGTGCCAGGTGATGATGAAGCAATACAGTTAGTATCAATCTGGCTTCCACTGTCTTCCAGCCCCAAAACTGAGAGCTGAGCATCTTGCAGAGGAGCGAAGGTGACTTTCTGTGCAGATCAGACTTGAGACTTCATCTCACATGGGATCTCTGCAAGAACCCCTTGTGGTGACCCCTGTTCCTCTCTCCTTTCTGGAAATCACGTACTTGACTATGGTTTGTTCTCCCATTAACCCTTTCCTAGCTGTTTCACCCTGGAAGGGCCAAAATAAACTTGCATTAATCTCTGAGAACGAGGGTTCACACTGCTTTTGCAAAAACAATCTTGACAGCAGCCCGGATTTAATGGACTCCAGGAGAATTACTCATGAGCCACCATTCTGACCCCACAGGCCATCAGAGAAGACATGGGTGACTCCTTTCCTCCCTCCCACCTCCTGCTACAGAGCTCCCATGGAGCAAGCAGGTGTCACTGACTTTAGCAAAGGAAAGACTTGCTCTGTTTCCTTTCGATTCTGCTCTCTGCAGAACAACTCTGCAACCTGGAGCCCAGCACAAGCTTCGTTTCTCCCCATCCTTTCTTCTTGTTAGGAGATTGGGATACCAACAACATGCACTACTCCCTGAGCTGCAGAATATGCCTGCGCCTTGCTTTCCTCCCAGCTCACAGAGACAACGTGCCATTGTATTTCCTGGTGTCCTGGTTTCAGCTGGGATAGGGTTAAATTTCTTGCTAGTGCTGTGTTTTGGATTTAGTATGAGGAGAATGTTGATAACACACTGATGTTTTCAGTTGTTGCTAAGTACCCTCCTAGTCCAAGGACAGCTCCCATGCCTACTGACTGAGCTAGGTACATGAGATGGGAGGGAACATAATCAGGACAGCCAGTCCAGCTGGCCAATGGGGTATTCCATACCATGTGACGTCATGCTCAGTATATGAATGGTAGGCATGATCCAGGAAGTACCGATCGCTACCTGGTTATCCGTCAGCGCGGGTGGTGAGCAATTGCATTGTGCATCACTTATTTTGTATATTTTATCATTATCATTATTATTCTCCCTTTTCTGTTTTATTAAACTGTCTTTATCTCAACTCACGAGTTTTTCTCACTCTTACCCTTCCGATTCTCTACCCGTCCCACTGCGGGGGGCGGGGGGGAGTGAGTGAGCGGCTGCGTGGTATTTGGCTGCCTGCCAGGTTAAACCACGACATCTGGGGTTGTACGCAGCAAGTGTTCAAGAGCTGCTGTTCTTTATCAGCCCAGTCTCTCAGGGATGCCTTGAAACATCTAGCGGCATCTACCAGAAACGCATAAGCAGAGCTGCACAGTATCTACCTATCAGCATGTGATTGCAGGCAAAGGGGTGGAGGTATTTTAACATCACGTCTCCCTGAACCATCATGGTAGCTTAACCAAATGCATTCCATTTTGCAAATGGGAGGGTTCCAGCAACATGTTGATTTTTGATTGAGTCAGGGCTGGCAGCACAAGGGACGGCACATCTGCCTTATGCATTCATCAAGAGGCAGAAGCACAGATCTTACAGAGGTTGGCGATGAGCAGGACTATGGGCCACCAGAAGCGCCTTTGGTATTTTCATGGTTCTCCAGAAGAAAGCAAAGAAGCATATTACATTTGTAGTTGATGCTGACCCAATTTCAGAGGGAAACTGAAGCTCTTCTATTCATTATAGATGAAGCCAGTAGCTTCAAACAACAGTGTGCTACCTTGATGGGTAAAAATTAAACTATGTTGTGACAACGATGCATGCTACAACAACTTTATGGTTTATCACAGTGCCCATCAGAACACTTAAATGAGCATGGCTTTGTGCTCTTGGTGACTTTACAAATAACACTGTTTTTAGAGCAATAATAAGAAGAATCCCTAAATGTTGTTTTAAATTACACTTACTTAAGAAGTCCTTGCCCAGAGAAATTCAGAAAGTAAGTCCCAAGAGCAAAACCACATTAAAAATGAGCTCATCTGTACCTCATTTCAAGAAAGGTAGAAATGGAAGTTTTGATACGGTATTATGCTCTGGTAGTTTTTCAGCACTCTCCTAATACTGCTTGTACAGTGGTGGTGTTCTCCATCAGATGATGGCTTTCTAAAATCTGTATTATAGAATTACTGCCTGCAAGAGCTCTCTTAGATCAACCAAGGAAATTATACAACCACAGAGAGGAGGGATGTGAGCATGCGATGGCCATAGTGAGGAGCACCATATACCGCAGAAGTGTTATGGACCTAGGTGAAGAAAAAGGAGTGAAAGGAGAGGAAGGAAGGAAGGAATGAGGTTGCTGGGGGACAGGAGATCCCATGAGAACCTGTTGGAAATCACAGTCTCAGCTGCACAAGCGAGGCAAACATCCGTTCCCAGGATGGAGGTCTATCACGATGGCAGTGAGGAGGTTTCGATCACCAATGGAGACCATGCTGATAGAGTCCACATGGATGGGAGGGTGGAAGGTCTTGTGGCTCTCTCGTGGAGAGAGCAGGGGAAGATAATTCTTAATAACATATTATTGGTCAATGCGTATAAAAAGGAAAGGCTGGAGAGAACAGTATTGTGCAGAGGACGAAGGACAAAATTAAGAGAGCGTTTGAGTGAACCACACAAACCCAAGAAGCCTTTACAGCACATACCTTCAAGGTGAAGCCACATTAACCGTCCTTTAACTGAGGTGATAGAAGCGACACATATCTCTGCAGGGTTCCTGGGGTTCACTGCCTCCAGCTTCATGTTCTTAGTAAAGCCACGGCTGAAGGATGTCTGAAAGAGTAAAGGACCAACATGGCACTGCAGCACTGCATGACTTTAATTAGGCTGCCCACTGGGAAGCATAAATTTAGCATGGTTTGCTTTTCACTGGAAGTGCAGGATACACTGAAGAACACAAAGGCATCCAGATTCAAAATGGAGCTGCCCTGGACACCCACATGAAAAAACAATGACGGCAACAACTCAGAAAGCAATGTATTTCATGGTTTACTCCAACCCCTAACGCTCAGAGACTGAGAGGAGGTTACTCCACACTAGCTCCAAGAATATTTGAATGCTTGCTAGTGATGCATTTGCTGGCCACTGTTGGTGACGAGATACTACACAGAGGGTTCCCAGATATGCTGCGCTTGAGCATCTCTCACCTTGCTAGGAGAAACCTTGTAAACCAAATAACCCATCTTGCCTGAGACCGGAGAAACTTCTTCACACATTTAGTTGCCCAGGCTGACTGAGGCTGGAGAAATTTGCGTAATCTATTCAAGTGTGTTTTTCTTCATGGAGTATTGTAAGCTCAATGTACAAGGTCCTTTTCTGTAGACTTGAGGTACATAAAGTCATCAGTTGCAGGTGGGTGTAGATGGAGCCGGTTGTGTTTTCTGCTACAGCAGTACCTCCGTACACTTAAATACAGCACCAAAGAAACAGGTCTTTCACAGGTCATCTGAGGCCCCCATTGCCCTCCCACTCTTCTCCAGAGAAGGCAAAGCCAGGCCAGATATTACAGCAGTGATGTCCAACGAGTGGTCATCACGACAAACACAAGACCAAAATGTGGGGTCATGAGCTTGCGAGAATGCAGCATCCCCCACTGTACTAAGAGTTTGGGAGCCTGAGAGAAGCTGCAGTTCAAATAATTTAGGTACCACTGCTGTACGCCTTGACAAACTGCTTCAGCCTGAGGTTGGCCTGGCCATGTGACAGCAGCAGGCTGCTGACCAGTCCCTCCTGCTCCTGCCAGAGCCAGGATGGCTCAGCCCTAATGTAACAAACCACAGCTCCTGTTTGTAGCCACTGCAGATGATCCCAAGTGCAGAGGGATCTCAAGACCCTACAACCCTCTCCCAAACAAGCCTCTCCCCAAGCCGAGCCTCAAGCTACTCTTCACTTACTTTCATCCTTACCCTTTGTCCCTTCCAGTGTCCCCTCTCCCTTCACTTAAGGTCAGTCCCTCCCCAATATCCCCACCACCGCTATCCCTGAAAAAACACTAATGCAATACCTGTGGCCACACCATGGCTTCCTGCCCTTGCATTTTCCTCCCCTCTGTCCCACCCGTTCTGCAACACATCGGCTCTGAGCGCCTGCATCTCTCTGTTTGCACACAGCAGCACGAAAAGGTTCCCCCTCTTGGCTGAGATTTTGGCTAATAATAATTAGGCTGGGTAATAACTGTCACCGACTCAAAATAACACCAATCTCATCCAGCAACCCCATGTGAGCAACTGGAAGCCAGACTCAAATTCAACCTTTCTGCTATTTGTACAGCACCTAGGAGCACGGGCATTTCACCTTGAACAATAACTGGGAGCTCTTTGTGAGACTAAAAACTTCTGGATTTGGTCTTTTTTTATCAAGAAGCCTTCCAAGAACGTGCTGCTAGTCTCAAACACGGTTTGGACTGTTGCAAGCCTTGCTCAGCACACAGATCAGCTTCACCCTGTAAAAGCTGCCAATGGCCAGGACGGCAGAAAAGCAGGGTGAGTTTATTTAAATGCCTTTTATGTTGCCTAACAAGGAAATGTCATTTATCATCACGCCGGCTCCTTTCACTGCAATTCGGTGCTGGAGGCTAATTTATACAGAATCAATGGCAAAACAGTTAGCTAGGAGTTTATTTTACTAAGCATTTGGTCATGTCAATCCATTTCATAACTGCCTTTCCTTGTTAAATATCCCCCCCCAAGGAAAGAGTTACAGCATATCCACTTCCAGCACCGCGTCTGGCTGCACTAGGTGGAAGATGTGCTTGCAATACAGCTTCTATCAAAGAGCCGCTCACAGCCACGAAACAAATGGACCGACCTGGCAGGGAGGTTGCACAAGCGACAACAGCGAGATTACATCTCTCTGCAGAGAACTGTGTTATCGAGAACGAAAGAATAACAGACACATGTTCATCTGATGAATGTTTCCTTAAAAAAAGAAAAAAAAAAAAAAGTGCTTAGACCTGATTTAATCTTCGGAGGATATTACACAGAGGCTATTCTCAAGGCTGTCAGTGCTGAGAGCGTAGATCCACTATTTGATAAAATTAAAAGAGATATAAAGAGAAGGGAGGGGTGCTTGCAGAAGAGGAGAAATGCCCACCAATTGTCCCACTCGATTGGTGCGACGCAGCACTGTCCAGCTTCCCTCAGCGCTTTCACAAATCTTCGCTTAAAGTCCCTTGAGGCAGCGGGTTTTGCATAGGATGCCACAATAAATGGAGCAAAGAAATCCTAACTCACATTTGACTCCCAGGTCAAACTCTGTTGGTGATACAGGTCTTCTGAATTCATCAACAAAAAATGTTCAAATCCATCAATTCACCATCAAAGGTCTGTTCCAAGCCAGGCTGCCCTTGGGCCACCACAGATGAGGAAGGCCATGCAAAAACACAGCTGGTGTCTTGTGAGACTGTCTCCGTTCGGCTTTTCATAAACACCCTGTCCCCCAGTCTCGTGACTTCTGAGTACAGTAAAAGGCTATGTAACTCCCAGAGGAACCTGCTTGTCCACCGTTCACATCACTTGCTTTATTTTGCAAATCCTTCTGCACTCATTTTAAGTACCACCAGACATTCAGTTATTGCTGGGATCTCAACTTCCATCAAGTTGATGGGAGCATGAAGAAGAGCACCAGGTTACTGGAAAAGGCAGAAGGCTACATCTGCCTTTCACCAAGTGATGAATACCTGTCGGATCAAGCCAGACCAGACTGTCATTGCTAGAAAACAGCCTGCAAAAGACTATTTCCAAAGCTCTGAATCTTGATGGCCTCCAGCAGAATGATGTGCTGCTCACTCTCACATCACTGTTGCTGTATCAAGGAACCACACGAACTGTCCCAAAGACCAGAGCATCCATGCACGTTAATCACTCTTCTCACACTTTGAGCTCAACAGCTTCAACCTTAGCTTTTAAACGCATTTGGTTTGGTTAAATATATCCCCCCCCGAACCAGAGAAAACACCAAAACGTGAAAAGGACCAGATGATACCACCCAATTTTTTTTTCAATAGCACTTGAATTATTTGTAATGGTCAGTTGAGATCCTTCTTGTGCTAGGTGCTGTACAAAAGCAGAGAGGAGATGAAGAGCAGGAAATCTAAATGAGTCAGATAAAGACAAAAGTAAGATAACATTTTGTCTCTTTTAGGGATGGAGACCTGAAACACTTCTCCAGCCTCCTTCCTAAGACAGACTCGTGGTGGTCTGGGGGAACCTCCCAAAGCCTTACTGCAGCTTTTCTGTGCAAGCTATTTTGTTTCACATGGATCGACAGGAGCGATGCAAAGGCAAAAAAGAAAACTTACGTTTCTAAAGCACAGGTGAGGCGCTGCCTCCGCTCCACACTGCTTCTGGTAGTCTGCCCAGTCAAAGTCCTGGCCAGAGTAACCTGCAAGATGACAAAACAGAAAGTGCCATCAGCCACCACTTCACACCAGAGAGCGAGAACGAACCAGGCCCCAAGCAGACGACCATTTGTGTTTCAGCATCCCATCCCGCCTCAGGGAACTGTGCGGTATCAGCAAGCAAGTTCTCTGGATGCCTATTTATACACCATGAGAGCCAATGCCAACGTTTCTCCAGCCCCCACTCATACACCTTCCGCATTTCGCTTTGAAAACTCAAGGCCTTCGTTAAACAGTAATAAAACATTTGTTTTCCTTATTTTCCCTTTTCTGTGAGCATCTCCCAGGCTTTAATAAACCCATAACTACCGAGAAGTGCTACTGTCCCTAATTTCCAGGTGGGGCTAGTCATGGACTTCTTTCTCCTTCCTTTAGCTATCTAAAAGATGGGGTTATGGAGCTGGACATCAAGGGTCCCTCAGCAGTGGACAGGGAGAGGACCAGCACAATCAGAAGCTGATCCATCCTCTCTTTTGAAGCACGAGATAAATTCTCCTCTCTCTTCATTGATATGGATGTACCCTATATGACCGACTTTCCAGCAGCTCAGCGTACGTGAGCTGGATCCCATCATAGTAAGCATGTTATCCAAGGTTGTACAGAAATTTGGAGCAGAGCAGGAAAACGAACGCAGATTTCCCAGCTCTCAGATTAAATTCTCAGCAACTAGATGATCCCTTCAGCCTCTGTTTCTAGGGAAAAAAGGGAAGCAACATTGATTTATATGAGCATCTCTCAAACAGTCCTACCACAGAGAGACAAAACAGACCTCTGCTCATCCATTCTTCTTGCCTGGCTATTTAGGCAACAAACTCTTGGGACAGAGAGGGCTTCTTTTAATATGCTTTTTGAGGGTTTTTTTGTCTGCCTCTTAGTCCATATTTTTACAGTGAAGCTTGAAACCAGTGAGTGCTAATCCTGTCCAGGGCCCTATGACAATACTGTCGATACTCTAATAACATTATTGCAGAACTACTCTCACTGGAAAGTTTCAGGAGTCACCTAAAAGCCAAATTCTCCCCTCAATCTCCCTGCCTGGCATCTCAGCCTGGCCTGATTTCACAGAACATCCCTTAATGCCTTTTTCATTGATAGTCAAAAAGGGACACTCAAGATTACACAGGAATGAATCATTTATGACAATGAAAATTGTGAAATTTTTTGTAGGCAAGAAAGGACTGGAATACTGAGTGGAGTCACCTATCAGTCACCCAGATCCAAAAAGGAGGTAAAAGTTTTAAAAGTAAAGTCCCAAACATTCTGCTTAGGTGCAAGTATCTGGGATAAGATGAACTTCTAATCCTAAGAATTGCATACATGACAAACAAATTAATGAGATAAAGCCTTGAGCAGAGAGGGTCCTAAAAGATGTCTGTCTCTGTGGGGCATCAAAGTGTGTACAAGGACTGGAAAGCTAGAAATAAACACGAACAGAGGAGTAAAAAAGGGCAATTACGTACAGAGAATGTTCATTTTTCATACAAAAAAAAAAATCCTTGCACTGCTTTTTCTGCAACAGTATTTTCTTTCTGCTTTTTCTCCATCTCCTTTTTGCTCTCCACTTATTTGTTTGCCAGATACTTTTCAGCTTCATAAAATTAAATGGAAAACAGGAGGAGGAGCGCACATCACGTCAGAAGGAGATTCATCTGATCGCATAAGTACTTTTGCAGTGGAGACGCCTATAGCTGTGCCTGTCACCCTGGGTTCCCTGAAGAGTCAATGGAGAAACAGGCAGATCTAAAGGTGATCTGTCTGTCCTCCTGCAGAAGGAGCAGAATCGCCCTGTGAAAGACCTTCTCACTCTCCATTGACTCCAGAAGCAGCTAGGGTGATGGGCTCAGGTGGGGACAGCCACAGCGTAGTTGTCTACGTTACACCACCTGGGGTCCACCCCAGCTACCAGAGCACGTTGCCTTCAGGGACCCAAAAACCTGCCCACACCCTGCACGTTCTCTCATCTCCTATTTAAACGCCTCATAGACAGGTTTTGAATCTTAATTGCGAGCTACACAAAATCTTGGCAGAGTGGACGGAAAAGGCACATGGGCCAGGTTTCAGTGAGATACAAAAACTTGACCGTGCGGTTTTTGTTGGCTTGGCCATGCATCACTGAAATCGCTGGAAGACCTTTTGCTGTAGACTTCAGCAAAAGCAGTTAGGGAGCTTGCCATAACTCCCTCCAGCAGCGCAATGAGGATCACTCCAAAGGGGAGCATACTCAGGAATTGGCTTCAAACAAGCCTGGACCTCTATATGGCCTTTCCATGGTGCATCATGATATACGCTAAATGTGTACCCCCATTAGCACATGGCATTCACACACTGTTATCCTTTAAGGCTCAGCCCAAGTAACAACGTTCAAAGCTTTGCTCGCATGATTCAACTGCTGCTCCTCAAACATGTAAAACCTCACTGTGTTTGCTATCTCAACTCTCAGCATGGAAGAGCTCAGCAGTCTAATCAGAAGCAAATATAACAATACAAATGTACTGGAGGTTTTGGAAGTGGCATTTCTTTAGCATGTCTTACAACTAGGAGCGCTACTGAAATGTTTTTCCCTTCTTAATAGCTCATAAAAAGGAACTGTGGTTGTTACTCTAAAGGGAAGTGGTCTATAAATCCAGCTCTAATAAATATAAACAGTGCTTGTTCAATGTTTATACAGCAGCAGTAAATGGGTATTCATTTTTGGCACTGTATAGGAAAATACTGCGCTCTATTTCTCGTAGCAAATGTTTGCACCTCCTGTTCATGACTCATCTACTGTATGTTTGGCTTGTCCTGGTTTCGGCTGGGATAGAGTTACTTTTCCTCCTAGTAGCTGGTATAGCGCTGTGGTTTGGATTTAGTATGAGATGAATGTTGATAACACACTGATGTTTTAGGTGTTGCTAAGTAGTGCTTACAGTAGTCAAGGACTTTTCAGCTTCCCATGCTCTGCCAGGTGCATAAGAAGCTGGGAGGGGGCGCGGCCAGGACAGCTGACCCAACTGGCCAGTGCGGTATTCCATACTAACATATAAAGCTGGGGGAAGAAGGAATGGGGGGACATCCGGAGTGATGGCATTTGTCCTCCCAAGTCACCGTTACGTGTGATGGAGCCCTGCTTTCCTGGAGATGGCTGAACACCTGCCTGCCAGTGGGAAGCAGTGAATGAATTCCTTGGTTTGCTTTGCACTGCGCATGCGGCTTTTGCTTTCACTATTAAAATGTCTTTATCTCAACCCATGAGTCTTCTCATTTTTACTCGTCCGATTCTCTCCCCCATCCCACCGGGGAGGAGTGAGCGAGCGGCTGGGTGGGGCTTAGCTGCCAGCTGGGGTTAAACCATGACAGGCTTCAACAAAGGCCTGACAGGCAAAAAGGCAAGAGAATGGATATCAGGCAAATAAAGGACTCTGAACCCAAATACCCCAACCTGGCACACTGTTCTGATGAAATAAAATCAGTTCATTTTAAAATCAGAAAACCTCGTCAACAACAAATTAACCAAAAAACCCAAGCAAAGAAATACAATACAGCAAAGAAACTCTTTTCACAAAAAGAAAAAGGACTTCTTCCATTGTTATCTTTTGCTGCATGGGAACTTCTTGCCTTTCAACAGGGAGAGCCATTTGGGCAACACTAAATATTGTCAACATATTCTCTGTTAAGGGTGATGTTGGCTGGGAACGCGTGAGCGCTGCGGAAGCAGGAGGCTGGTCAAATCTGGTGTGAGAAGGGGCAGTTCTAGATACCCCAGGGCAGGTAGAGCTATCCAGTGATTTGGGTGGAAATGGTGGAATTTCCTCCTCCTTCTGCAGACCTGCTCATCAGCAGCCAGCTCACACCAGTATAAGAAAGACGGCAATATAGCATGCATATATCTGCCACTTGCTTTATGCCTTTTTTTAACAGCTTCCCTCCAGGATTTCTGATCTGACAGCAGAAAGCAAACTTTATTTTCATCAGAGGAATGACAGGAGACTTCCTACACTTTCTCAGGAGCCCAGGTGGACCCCAATCACCAGCCATCCCACCAGATACCTACTTGCCCCTTAGACTTTACTGGCCAAGTTGAGAAATACCCGTACAACAGATGCTACGGACACTTCTAAAAATGTTGGCATCTAAAAGAGAGTTCACATGCACTCGACCTGTAAAACCCCATCTCAGACAGGCTTTGTACCAGCACGGATTGGAAATTACTAGGCCATGACCCTGTAAAGAGAAATGCCTGACCTGTGGTCTACTTCAGTTAATTAGCTGGCCTGGGGGAAGCTGCATGTGAATTTGGGGTGGAAAAAACAAAACATTCCATTTACTTTCATTTTTAGCGACTTTTCTGGCCAATATCAGTGAGCCTATGCATTATCATTACACCCGGATTTAAGCAAGAGGGAGCTAAAGCATCCGGACAGCCCATTTATTTCAGGAAAGGCAACGGAGCCATCATGGATGTACCGCACCCAGCTGCAGGCACAGGACTCCAGGACTTTGGTGGGAATTTCAAATTACATGGGCTGAAGAGACACTCTGGATATACGTAAGAGGACTCTGAATCTGGTCGAGAATAATTCTTCGCTTCCCTGGGTTTGGCAGCAGCATACTTTTTCCAAAATTAAGATAAATCTGCATGCGCAAAAGTTACTGGGATTTTTTTTTTTTTTTGAGGCATTTCTTTTTCTCCCAAGCAATACCAATTTTTGGCAAAGGCTCAACATCCCGGCCAGCTTCAAAAATCTAAAATTACAGAGAGCCAACACATTTTGGAAGCAAAGAAATATTGCTAGGGCACTGCAGGTGGTTGTCTGAAATTGCAAGTAATTAACTGCACCGCTATGAAGTTGGGCAAGAGCACTGTTGGAGGCTGTTTCTCCTGGCTCTGACCTGAACACTCCTCACAATTTGCCCTCGCCTGGGATTTTCTGAGACACTAAGAAAATGCCTACACGCTCTTGGGCAAGCAGCTGTGAGCTTAGTTTAGACATTTAGATTTAGGAGCTTTGCTTAGCCTCAGCGTTGTACCAAGGTGGGTGCTATAGGGACATGCCTGGTTTGCCTCTAGTATGATACGACTTTTAATGCTCCTTTTGCTCTCTACACACACAAAGCATCGCTAAGATGCATTTTACAGGAATTCATTAGGCTTTGGTGCAGGCTGCTTCAGACTACAAAGCACACGGACATCAATCCACCAGCGAGATGCATTTGCAGAGACGTTTGCGGGGTGGTATGAGCGAGAACCAGTGACTCAAGAGAGCTACTCTGGCTCGAGATACTTAGGGTGATGCTCTGCGGCAAACAGCATCATGGTTTTAAAGGCAGTAAGAAGAGGCAAATTTCCTTCAGAGGAAACTTGCAAATCACCGAGAAGGAATACAAACCCTTGGGAGGTGTGAGATTGACTCCGTTTTTAAGGCACCACTGTATTGGCAAGATCCCTAAGGAATCCGCATGGCAAAGCATTGAGATTTTGCTGGGTTCAGGTCTCAAGTCATCAATGGTCACTTGCAAATAATGATTATTAAAAACCTAAGGAGTGAAAAAGAAGAAAACAAAACCAGAAGTTAAATTTGCTGTAACATTAGGAAATGTGGAAAGCTGAAACATCCAGGTCCTGGAATCAAACGACTCTTGAAAATAACCCACTGTCACCTAATACTTTTCATCAAAATGTTTCTACCAAAGAGATCAAAGCTCGAGTTTTAGAAATGGATAAACTGAGGCAAGGGAAAGCGCTGGGGTTCAGGGTCACTCAGTGTGCCCACAGCTGAGCAGGGACTGGAGGAGGATCTAGAGACCCCAGAGTCTTCCTCTCTTTTGCCTTTGAGAGTGTGGATTAAATATCCAGGTACCCCCTCCATCCAGCTGTTTTGTTTCAAAAGGTTTCCCAGATGTGCAGGGAAATATATATACATGGAGAGAAGACAAGGGTAAAGGAGGGATCCCCTTTTTCTGCATGGAAGCGGTGTGGGACAGAAACAATTCACTGATTAGGAACATCCATGGATTTTAAACTTCATGTGTTCTCCAGCCAATTAAGTACCACTCTTGAGTTTTCTTAAACATGGGGGAAATCAGTAAGAGGCCCTTTTCAGCCCTACTTTCTGGGAGCTCACCTTGGTCACTGATGCAGGACAGATATGAAACGGCTCCCTCATATTCACCGCCTCCAGCTTCATCCCCACAGTGAAGAAGTGGTTTCGCAAATCAGCATGGTCCTGCAGGAAGAGATGGGGAAGAAGAGCACGCAGTGTGTCAGTGCCGTCCACCAAGGAGGGGCCGATACATTTGAAAACGTATTTCAAATGTGTCCATGTGGATTTTGTCACTTAGCTGATTATCAGATTGACCTCCAGCTCCAACCGGGTGCTCCTGGTCCTATGTTCTTTTCATGCCAACCCAGCCACAGAAAGAGAGGGGACAGCCTGTCTTCCAGAGGTCAGATCTGCAGGACCAAGCCCACCATATCTCAAGCGCGATGTGCATCCATCTCATCGGTAGCATCTAACTTGAACTTAGTCAACAACCAGATCACGCTCACCAAAATGAGGACCTGTCTGAGAAATGGCTACTTGAAAATCTCCCCTGGATAGAGCCTCTTCACCTCTGACAGCCACTACCACCTGAGAGCAACCAGAGGTCCAGAGGTGTCAGGATTCAATCTGAGGTCCCCCAGGGTAATGCACAGCATGGGTGTAAACAGCTCAGGATGGCCCTGATTGACCCTGATGGATGCCCAGCTCCTGCCGGACTGCAAGATGGAAAGGTCTTTTCTCCAGCCAGGAGACTAAAGGTGGACTGAGGCCCAGACAATGAACTCAGACCCAAAATGTGGACAACAAGAGAACATGCTGGTGCGAAAACATGCAACTGTGTTCAAGTGCATGCCCACTGCAACACTTTCACCCGGGACCAAACCTGGCTGCACCCAGAGGGTTGCACACAGCAGCCTGGGGGATGGCAGCAGGATGCAATCCCGAAACTCAGAAACAAGCCGGGTTCAACTCCCTGATTTGCCACCAGTTTAGTGTTTAACATCTATCAAATTACTCCATCTCTCATGACCCCTGTCTAATAGGTGTACAAACCGGCATTCTAATTCCAGAGTAATGATCAGATTTTGCGTTCGTTCAATAAAAATGTCCTACAGTATTTCTAAACCATCTGTGCATTAGCCAATACAAGCATAAAAAGAGATGATGTTATATTTAACACACACAGACAGACTTCTCCAAAATACATGCAGAAAGCTTGCTATCTAATAAGTGGTTAGCAATGTCATTCCCATCTACATTCATTGCTACATGTTGTATTCTTGTTCTAAAATGATTTTCTATTGATCCAAAGTTGTATGTCATTGTGCTTTCTTCTCCCAAGAACTGTCTTCACTTGTAAACTTAACAACTTCTATTTTGGGATCTTACATACTGCCATTAGAGATAAGGATTTTTACAAGCTCCAACCACGGCTAAATGAATTGCTGTTTCCATCTTACCAATCTGCAATGTTATTGAGCCTTTTCTGTGAGAGGCAAAAAGCAGTCAAAAAAAAAAAAAAACATAATACATTTAGTCTCACAGCAGGAGAATTATATACTGATGGGGAAACTGAGGAAGATTTACCAATAATGGCCCAAAGCCCAATGAACTCATGGCTGAAGAAGGAGCAGACATTCAGGAGTTTGGGCGTACCGCAGTGTAGCATAACCATACCTGCACTTGCTGGCAGTTGCTTCCTTATCACTAAAGCCCCAGAGAAATAGGAGACCCATTTCTAGCAGCTCTAACAGAGGATGTTTCATTGAATAAAAGACTGAACCAGGGAAGAGAATCTGGCTCCTTGTACACAGAGGTTGCATCGTACCAGGGATGCATCAAACAGGCAGGTTATCAAAATTGCCTTTTTTACTACTGAAAAGTCTGGGAAAAGATGATGGCTGCAAAAATCAGACCTCGCCAGTACTGAACTTCAAATCTCCAAAGGCAAGAAGCACCTGGACTGGAGGGCTGCCTCCTCCTGCAGGAGGATCCACACCCGGCGTCTCTTAATCCTTAGGGTGAGGTTGTAAAGAAAAGGCGACTTTGCAAAACGTACATCTGGAAGTAAGCTTACACTGCAGCATCTTCCCATCACCAAGTTCCAGGATTCAATTCACGCTCGTATCCAGCTTCAATACCTAATAAGCCAAGATCCACCAAAGTACTTAATCATGTTTATCTTTAAACATGCAAGTAGTTTCATCAACTTTAAGTGATTTGTTGATTGAGACCAAAAATATATCGAGACCAAACCATATTGCTTCTCATTTTTATTTGAATCCGTTTCTTTGGCTCTTCTCCTTCTATTTGTTTTGGCCTTTTTCAAAGGGAAAAAATAATCAGGTAGGGAAAAAAAAAGCTAGTATCATTTAAAGCTATTTTACTTCAAAAGCATATCCCTTTTTCTTCACACGCTATGTACCTTAGAACCAAATCTCCCTTCTCACTCAGCGTAGCATGTAAATGTCTTCCCCATTAAATTAACGGCAAGAGTGAACTCGCAAGGGGAGTTCATGGGATCTCAGGTACGTCTCCCTTTGGAGGGTCAAAATCCTCTTTGAAGCAGGAACGTACATTTGTTTGGAGAAGGGCTGCGGAAGCAAAAAGCTTGTCTGTGTTAAATGTCATTTTTGAGATGGAAAAGCTTTCATGGAGAAAAAGCCTTTGTATAGTATCTCTCTGGCAAATGGTCAGGGTCTGGATATTTGATCTCTCTCATATATTTGCTAAAGAGAGGCATCAAAATTTACCGAAGCAGACGTAGATTTCTGCAGCCACAAAAGGAAAAAAAGATCCTGATGCCATTCTCTAGTTCCAGTGCTGGAGTTGCCTCAGCCAGCAGGGAATTATTTAGGATTTGGCATATGCTCCTCTTCAAAACTCCAATTAATTTACATAATTTCTAAGAATAGGTTCCACAGAAGTGAAGGCAAAGCTTTTAATTAGTATTAGACTCGAAGTGATACACTGGATAATGAACTGCTCTGTCCTCCCTTTATTCACGTTGACAGGAAAGACGCCTGTTTAATAAAAGCAGCTACAAGAAGAGAACTGGAGGGGTGAGACTTTCCCCTGGTCCCTGCCAGGCTCTGCAGCTGAGCAAAAGAAATGCCTGAAATGATTATGGGTGGCAGAATCCGACCCTTTACCGCTATTCCGTGGTTCAAAGCCACCTACGAGGATGTCACCAGCCATTATTTTCTACCAACTTCTCCAAGTGAGTTTCAATTTTCTTTGAAATGCAGATGAATAGGCAGAATATTTTTGACCAGTTGGAGCATTTTATAGCCTCGTTCATGGTGAACCTTTTCTCCTACTGGCAGGCAATGCTTCCCAGGAGCAGCCCCACTGACCACATGGATTTATACCAGCAGATTGCCTGTCCCGGGGCTCACCAGCCCTGAGTGGGTGATAGAAATATCCTCTGACTGCTGGAGAGCAGTCAAGTAAGCTGGATCGACAATCCACAAGGATGCAGAAGAGTCCCTTACAGCAAAGTGAAAAATCACACCATGGGAAGGGCAATGAATTAAGGTGGTTACAAGCGCCACCGTCGCTCATTCAAAGGGTCACAATCTCCAACATGATGGATTACAGCCTGCGACGGCACTCATGGGTAATGAATGGAAAATTGCATAGCCCTCCGCCGAACGAACGTCTGCCACTTACAGCCCGAACCCACTGGCAAAAGCCAAGGCTGTCACAGCTCTCGCTACAAACCCCACGAAGCAATTAAACTCAGCCCCACACTCATAGTTTTAGAGCAGTATGCATTTGCAAATTTGCCAGCGTGCACAGGCTGTGACCCTCCGGGCCACCTGAAAGACAGCCCCGCTTTGATACGCATCTGCATCATGATCTCCGTCTTCGTACGGCATGTGTTTCTGCAACCCTTCTGCAAAAATACTGGTGGGCTTCGCAACAGCTCGCTGCAACCAGCATCACCTGCAGGGCTGAAAGCTGGAACGTCTGAAGGTCAAATAAGAAGTCAGCAACGGTGCTGGGAGGAGAACCAAGCTCCTAATTCCCAACCCTCTTCTTTAGGTACTAAGATGGCCGCATAATTTTCTCCTCCATAGCTAATGAGCCACTAGCAGTGCAGGTTTCAAGAATGTCAGGTGACTTGGGAGCCTAAACGTCATTCCAAAAGAGACCCACAAACAAATTTACAAAAGCATTCAGACTCCTAAGGATACAGATGGCTTTAGGGAAGTACCTGTGCGGGTGACGTGCTTAAGTCCTAATAATAAAGTCACTAAGCATTGGCTTCAGGTCTTGAACTCAAAAAGCTACACTTCAAAATCATCATAGTCATTTGCCCTTTCTGGTGCCTAAAAACCTTGCTAAATCCGGCTTCTGAGTATTTCTACTCAACAAATGTCATTTAAGTGTAAACAAACTCAAATCTGTCCATGTCACAGCAGCGTTCTGGCCACTGAAGGCTGGAGCTCGAGTAATTTTACAGCGCACTGGGTAATGCAGACAGAGCAGGGGGACTTGGCTAAGCTGCTTTTGCCCATGACATTCAGGGAAGCCGTACTATGGGCTGGTTGCTCTGGCTGTGTCCACAAACCCAAGGAAGGGCATCCTCTTCCAATTGTGAAATGCTCATTTTTAGCCCATTCTGCTCAAGATACAATACTGGAGTCATCTCATTTTAAACCCAGCAGCTTACACAGCGTATAGGTAAGAGGAAAAGGCTCTAATTTGAACTCTAGTTTTCAAGTACCCTAAAAGTCAGGGCTCTTTTGGTCCAGGATAGTCAGATTCACCCCAATTACAAGACCGCAGCTTTGTGCAAAATTCAGAACTAAGTCTAAATGCTGAAAAGTTGCAAAGTTGAGAGGCTGATTAGAAACACTGAGCACTTAATAAATGATTAACCTGAGCCTCCTTTAATCATCACCAACTGAAACAGTGTGAAACGCTATTGCCTTCAGTCACATCTCTCCTGGTTTACCCTACGAAAAGATACAGAAGAAGTGGGCCCCATCTGGTATGATTGGAAACACATTAGTTGATTCAGTTTTTGTTTTCGAAGAAATCGCTTCCCCCAGTGTTTTCTCTAATTCTCGAAGAAACTGGCTGCTTCTAATAGCCTAATTTTAATCACAAAGCTCGTGTGTGGTAACCAGTCACAAACTCAGTAATAGCAGTAGTTAAACTGCCTCTACAGGAAT